TGCTTCAAACGGTTAACATTAGGTTGCCTGAGGTGTCGTGCCCATCGAGCGTGGATAAGGTCGGCTGATGGAGGGCATTGGAAAGAGATGATTTATGACGAGGGGGGAGGTGAGAGTAAGTGGTGGTTAGGAACCACTGTATGTTTATTGGCAAGGACGGTTGGGTCACTGCATAACACTGTGTTGAGTAATATGTTTATATGTTAATTTATGATTATTTCGTTACAGAAAGAAGAGATTTAATAAAAAGTTATGGATGTGTTATGCAGTAATTTATTTATGTTATAATAAATGCTGTGGCCTGTTCATCCATACTAAGTTGTTTGTCGTTATTGGGGGGTTTAATGGGGCTAGATTTGTTCTAAGCTGCATCGCGATTCCCCACTATGTACATACATGGCAATCAAATGAGATTTGCAAAACCAAAGCTAAATAATAGAAGCTATCATCAGTGGACATTCATGCTAGAAGTGTAGTGCTCCAAAAATCATTTGTGGGATGTTTTACACAGAGACAAACCCGATGATAACCATGTAGAATGGGATAGAAAATACAGACAAACAAAAACAAATATAAACCTGCAAAAAGTAGAAAGTGATTGACTAAGAAACATAAGAATTAAACAAAATAACAAAATATATGTGGGTCTGATTAAAAGTGCAGAAGTGTTCCACTTTAATAAGCTATTTTCATCTTCTAAGTAGTCATAGGCGTGCGCAGCCTATTGTATAAGGGTGTGCACCCTAAAGTAGAAACACACACGCCGCGATAATAAGCCATACATAACACCATTGGCTATGTGTGAGAGTTGGTTGTGGTGTGCCTAAACCGACGATCGGGTAGGCCTGAAATAAATGAGGGCCCACCAAGGAAGTGTTTGTTAATAGGTGTGGTGGGTGAGAAATCTGGATCGGTGTCGGCCCTGAGTGGAGGTAAGTCTGAGTATAAATAGGCCGGTAAAACCCCTCCCACAACTAATAGGCTCCGCCTTAACATTTGTAGTCGGGGATAATAAGCCGTACATAACACCGTTGGCTATGTGTGAGAGTCGGTTGTGGTGTGCCTAAACCGACGATTGGGTAGGCCTGAAATAAATGAGGGCAAAACATTTAATCGTTAACGCTATAATGCTGATATCGATTGCCTGACTCATTCTGTGGAGGCTTACCGAGTTCTTTCTAAGGTTATGGAATTTACTTGTTGTAAGCAACTGATTCCCATTTACGTAATTCCTTGATTAAGGAGTGCCGGTACTTACCTGATGAAAGCAACAGATGCGACACCGATCTTAGGGGGGTTGACCTATGACGGTCAATGGGACCTAACCTATAGTGGTAGCCGGGTCGTTATGTAGTCAATGAATATGCCGTAGCGAGTGATTTGTTGTATATATTGTGATTAGGTGTGTTTGGCTTTGTCTCTCTGTGAGAAAGAGGCAAAAAAAATTCAATAAATGCATCCACCATACTGCTGGACTCTACCTTCATGGTTCGGATAGAACTGGACCTCCGATTGGGTCTATCTTGTTTATATGTCCGCTACGAGGCATTTCTAAAAGTTTGAATGAGATAAAGCGTTGGCCGCGATATTACCCTGTCTGGGTACATGTGTGTATACCAAACAGAATTATGTGAAACTGCCAACTAGGTGATTCCCCTAATGAGTTTAATGAGTGCCCGTGAGGGAGAACACCCTCAATTTATATTTACGCATGCGACTTGTTATTGGAGATCATGTGATGGTTTTGCCTTCCCGTCAGGAACACCAGGCATGATCTGCTGCAATTTATGGGTTAAATGTCGGAATAATGTGACAAGTGATGCAGGCGGCTAGAAGTGTCAGGGAGTCGGGGCGCCATAGGTCACGGAACCACCAATCTTGGTATAAGACCGTGAATGGCCTGCTGCATCGATACCCATAACCTGTGTTACTACGTCCGGTGGGGGGATGGCCTGCTGCATCGATACCCATAACCAGTGTTACTACGTCCGGTGGGGTGATGAACGTAGAAATCTCTTCGATACGTAAGAATCCAACACCATCTCAACGGTCTGTTTGCGTGAGAGCAAATAGAGGCGGTGTCATATTCGTTTGGAGCCTCTGGTAGGAGGTGAGGTAGTCGCAGTACAAATTAAGCGGCCCAGTGGCATTGCGCCAAGTAGGGATTGCAGGTCTTGTGGGAGCGGTTACTCATGTGTGAGAACCCTTTTGGAAGTGCTCGCGTAGTGTTTCAGTGGACTTGTCTAATGTTCAGGGCTAATCATGGCCCCAAACGTCC